AAATGCATCAAAAACGTTGCCTTTTTTTTTTTTTTTTTTCATCAATGTTCCGTATAGTAACGAATTTATTGGAGCGAGAGAATTTCCCTGAATCCCATCTGGCAGAAAAATAAATAATGCATAAGGGTCGTTGAAATTTTCGGATTCGTGGATTGGAAATTCGAGTGGATGAATTCTTTTTTTTTTTCTTTTTTTCACGGTTTGACGATAATGAATAGAAAGCGATGAATATTGCCACGTAACTCGAGCAAATGCGTTACTTAACACTTTTCTAATATTTTCGAGAGTCAATGAATGAAATTAGACGCGTGAAAAAATTAACACATCAATTTTTTTTTATTAAAAAAAATTTTAATAATTCTATCTCTTCTCTTATTTCAAATCACAAATATTAGATAGAAGGAACATCAAGAAACAACTCGTTGATTTAATCGTAAAAGACTATGTTGCATTTGTTGCTTTTACTTTGTACAAATGCAATTACATTCGTTAAAGTTTAATATCTACACAAATACATTACGATTTCATAGATGGCAAAAAGATGATTGCGAATTCAATCTTTTTTTTTTGTTTTTTTTTTTATATCAAATACAATTATACAATCTTTTGAAGCGTGATCAAACGCCTCTTACACATTTACACGTACGATAATATTATATATACAACAACAATTTTTCAATTCAGCCTGATCGAAGTTAACGTTATTGATTTTTGAAAATAAAAATTATCACATTTTCAATCCTTTGTAGAATTAATCATTAGTTGTCTTCGTGGTTTTGAAAATTGACATCAAGCTGAACTAGGAAATGAAAATCACGATCATGTGAACGACTTAACTGTAATTATGTACAATATTTATTTCTCCCTTTTTTCATGTTATAATATTTTTAGCAAGAATGTTTGAGAAACTTTCACCAAAGATATAAATTATATTCATAAAATTAATGTTACATACAAGTTACGATATTTTTTTTATGTGATAATTTTAATGTAATTTTTATGTAAAACAATAATGGAATTTCTAATTAAAAAATTATATGAAATTATGCCGATTCCTTTTTTCTTAAAATATTATGCACTTTCGTTATTATGTTATAATTGTACATTTTTTAGAAAAATCGCAAATTACAATAATTATGCGAATAATAAATTTTGATTTTCAAGTAATTGTTCGTGAAAATTTAAAATTATGTTAGATTAATTCACACTTAAACACAATTTATTCCTACTCTCTACGGTAAGAGATTAAAATAATTTGAAATTCGAATTGAAACTTACATCTGCTTTGTACACAATTCTGTTA